GTTTTTCAATTTATTCAGTGCTGTTTGCCTTGTCGAATGTTTGTTGAATTTATTCATGTCTGTCCGACAGAATTCGAAGTGGTCGAAAGTCGACGGAGCAATTTTCATTATATATCATACGCAACGCAGAATTATTGAATTAATATTCTTTGGTTATGTAAGACACTTTTTCCACTGGATGACGTATATTTTTTAATATTTCAATGTCGATGCTGACAGAGAATGATTTATACAAAATCTGAGTTCGGTTGCATCAGCGTGTAATAAATTGTTCAATCGTAAATCGAAGCTTCAATTCCCAGAGTGTCTATAAAACTGACTCTCGTAGCTTTTAAATATTTTTCAAGATTCATGGTAGTAATTGTATTTTTAATATGAACGAGTAGGTTACAAAATAGCCTGATGGATCGTGATAATGAACGGCAAGATGGAACACGAAGTCTCGGAACATCTATAAAATTGAATTTCACAGCTTCGAAACGTTTCATAGTGATTGTGTGTAACAAATTAATAATTGTATTTTTAACGTGGACAAACATGTTGCAGTTAATCTCTTGCACTGGAATTGCAAAGAAATCGAGAACATTTTGTCTCAAATTGCAACATTTTTTTTCTCAGTTTTAAGTATATTTAAATGTAACTCAGGCAAAACAAATGGTAAGTTTGTCGCTCCTTTATAATTTCTATCCAGTAATATCGTACCGAGGAGTTTAAGAGAAAACGAAAACGACGAATTGTTGTTTCGGTCGCTCGTTATGGTCCGCGAACCCGTTTAAAATAGCCCGACAGTCGTGAACATGTAACGAAATTTTGATCCCGTCAATCACGAAACGTTCATAACCGTATTTAACGAATTAATTATTTTTACGCAAAGAGGGGAACGTTTCACTCCTCCGGAATGTTCTTCATATTAAGCTATTACTCGTTGACATGTTCGAGCGTTTGCTAATTACATGGTGCACTTTTCGTGCACGTTTCGCTCGCGCGTGGATGGGCGTCGAAAGCGCGTTCACGAGGGAAAAATATTTTCCACGGCGTCGCGGGGACCGTTTGAAACTAATGACCCTAGAGGTGTGAAAACGTGTGCTTTTCGCCGAGACGAGAAACTGAACTTCCGGCGGCGTAATTTCCAGCCAGGAGAATACGTTCGACTGAAGTGGAATGAGCACTGGTAATTGCAAGGCGTGTTTTAAATCTCGCGGCGGGTGTTTAGAGAAGCTTGCGGAAAACGCGTCTGGGGATTTCAGCCCCGGAGTCGAGAGCTCCGGATTTATGAGATACGCGTGGGATATTCAGCGTGACTAATGGATAACTTCCGGGGAATCTTTTGAACGCCCCTGGTAGCTGTGGAATGGAATTTTTGAAGAAATTTGACAAGCTCCCCCGGAGGACAAAGGAGCGCGAGGATTATGAACAGTGGGAATTCTTCATTTTCCAGGGGCCGTGACGGGAAAAGATCAAGGCAGTGAGCTCGCTGGCCACGACGATGATTCTCAGATTATCCAACGCGCGGCGCCCCGGCGTTTCTATACGAAAGTTTCGCGAGCGTATCGTGCGTTTTATGCGAAACATTTTGAAATTTCATTAGCACTCCCGCGATATTCGAAATTATAAGCGCATAATTATGCTTGCAAGAATGTTAGAGGGAAATAACGATGCGGTAATTATAAAGTTAATAGCATAGAACGAAATAACGACGTGCAGTGGAAAAATATGTAAAACTATAAAATAAATGGAATAATAAAATGAAACGTAAAATGTAATTTAAACTGCTGCTTTCCTCTCTCTCTCTCTCTCTCTCTCTCTCTCTCTCTCTCTCTTTCTCGATCCTTTCAATTTGCTAACGTAAATTCACGAGAGTATAATACTTGTAGCAAAGAAATTAAAGTGCAAGATACAAGAAAGAGTTAATAATACGACAAAGAACGACTAGCTTCAGTTAATATATTTTATTAAAAATCACTCGACTATCTGAAAATGTATTGTGAATGTGTAAAATTACAACATTTGATCAGAAAACGTAAATACACCTTGACCGATTTTATATACACTCCATCCTAAATGACAAATAGGTCGTTGAAAAGTAGCGGAAGAACGTCGGAGCAGCAAGCGGCGAACGATTTCCCTTTTCGCGAAGGAAGCTCCCGATAGGCGGGAATATTCGAGGATAAATCACTCGTCCGACCATTATCGCCCATTTTCCACTGAAAGTTCGCCGCGCGGAGCCACGGAACGCGAGCGTATCGAGCGTACTACCCGGAACAACGGGCGGACCGCAATTTCGTTTCGCCGCAATTCCACCCGTAACGAGGCAACGCGTGCCAGTTAAATAATTCTCGATCGAGCTGGTGATTCGACAAGTTAACCGATTTGTCAATTGGTCGGTGAAATCAGTTATATCGACTCTCGTTCCAATAGACTTCCCTCTCTCTCTCTCTCTTTCTCTTCATCTCTTTGCTTTCTTCCCGCTTTTTTTTTTTTAATCTTTTTCCCTCGTCTCATCCGTTTCTTTCTTCCCTCGACGAGTTTCTTTTTCTCCCTCTCTCTCTCTCTCTCTCTCTCTCTCTCTCTCTCTCTCTCTCTCTCTCTCTCTCTCTCTCTCTTTTACTCCCCTTAGCCACCGTTCGTTTCGTAAATTGCGGACTAGAATTTAATCGAAGGTTAAAATTTAATTTGGTAAATACAAGTTTGATTCGCAATATCAAATGTAATTTTTGACCCCTTCTCTCTCACATGCATGCACACGCATTCACCCTGGCTTCCTCTCTATCCGTCTATCAGACATCGATAGTGCGTTTATGGTAATTTTCGTAATCATGCTCTCCTGTCGCGCAGCGTACAATAACCTTAACACCGCGTTTCCACGCGTCTTTCTCTCTCTCTCTCTCTCTGTTTCTTTCTCTCTGCCTCTCTGTCCTATCTGCGTTCGCCCATTAAAAAAAGAGAAAGAAAAGAAAAGGGTCAAAAATTTTTCGAGCCATCGAGCGATCGATCCTTATATCTGTTCGATCGTTTGATTGGAAACGGGGCGTTAAACGTTCACTAATCGCGTTCCTTAGTTCAGTGTTTGTGGATATACCGCTATTAGAGAGTTAAGTGTGGTAATTAAGTATAATATACAAGATCATGTACGTGTAATTGTTTCGCATGTTCCGAGTCTCTTCTTGTTCTCTTCCCTCTCTTTCGTCGTTTTCTTTTTTTTCTTCTTCTTCTTCTTCTTTTTTGTACAGCTATTTACATGTGGATGCGAGCTTTACGGTGTCACCACTTTATAACGTCCGGTTTAAAGATGCCGGCGCATCTTCATCGCACGAAAGAAGGCCTCCGACCTCCCGGTATATCACTCTCTCTTTCTCTCTCAATCTTTCAATCTTTCAATCTCCCAATTTCTCAATCTTACATACGCACACACGCACGCACGCACACGTACACACTCTTTCTCTCTTTCTCTCTCTCGTTTTTTTTTATTTCTCATCAATTTACTTTTATCATCGCATATAAGCTCTATCACATTGGCTTTAAAAGCCGTGTCGTTATCGCGATAAGAATTCGAATGGTAATAAAATAATATACAATATAATCAATAATAATATTAATAATAATCATCGTAATAATAATATTATTTAATAATAATAAAATAGCAGTGATAACGTAAGCCTAATAATACGGTAATATTGATAGTAACTGACAACCTCGATCACCGATCGCTTTGTATAACTATCTCTTTTTTTCTCTCTCTCTCTCTTTCTCTCTGTTTCTCACAAATTCTCCAAGCGAAAATACGAAAAATTAAAAAAAAAAAAAAAGAGAGAACACAAATTACATACTCGCGAGTGGACAGATTTTTTTTTTCTGCTTGATTCTGCCTTTTTCATTGCTCGTCCGTACGAGAACAGCAAACGAAAACCACGTACGTATGAATTCTATCGTACGAAAGGAGAGAAAGAAAAGAAACGAATAGGGAGAAAAGAACGTAGACGTAACAACGAGATTGACCGATTCCACATAGGCGATTGACGTTTACTCTCCCGTAATATTGATGGACAAGCAAGAAGCAGGAAGAAGAGCGAGAGGACACGTGTTCCTTTCCTTCTAAACTGTTGCTTTTTCTTTTCTTTTCTTTTTTTTTTCTTTTTCTTCTTTTTCACTTCTTCGCGAAAGACGACGCGCCTACTAACCGAACAGACAAAAAAAGGTACGTAGTCGGAGAGCGGAGTGTAATAACATTAACAGCTTAACGACTATTGGGATAGGAGAAGTGTATAAACAATATAACATGAATCACAATTATGCAATAATTATTAATCGCTCATCTTCGTCGCGTAATTAGATAAAATTAATAATAATTTGATCTAACAACTCTCTGGTTACTCGTAGATTGCACTCTATGAACCCGGACCATTTCCGTTCTAACGGCCGATCATCGTTTTCACTTTTTCTCCTTTTCTTCTTTCGCCTTTCTTCAGTTTCATTTCAATCTTTTTCTTTGTTCTTTTTTCTAACCGAATCTCTCTCTCTCTCTCTCTCTCTCTCTCTCTCTCTCTCTTTCTCGAGATCCACCGGAGAAAGAACGGAAGCGGCCAGGGTTTCCTCGGATTTTTTCGAGCGAATGTGCGACGAACGCCTTTTGCTATCTCTTTATCCCCCAGGCTGTCCCGTCGCGTCACAGTCTTCTAACAATTACGAATTCGCCGAATACGTAGCAAACTGTGCACACCACACTAACCCTTCGTCTCGCACAGATACCACGTGTGTGTTTTGTGTGTGTGTGTGCGCGCGCGCGCGCGCGCGTGCGTGTGTGACTGTATGTGTGTATGCGTGTGTTACGAAAAAGAGTTCCATTTTTTCATCTTTTTTATTACTTTTTTTTTTATTTTTTTTTGATTGAGCTCCGTCTTCTTTGATAATGCAGCTGTGTGTCTGGCTGTGGTTCAGTTTTAATCCTCGGAAAAAGTTCGACCGACAGTTTTCTCATACACTGATGCGTCTTTTGTATCTTTTTTATTTATTTATTTATTTTTATTTTTTTTGCGTTTCTTTAATTTACCATTTCACGTATTCTACTTTGTATTTGCCTCCCTATTGATAATGCCCTCGTGGTAGGCAGGAATCGACCAACCAGGCCTGGTCGAATCCTATGACTGGTTTTTGCGTTTCTTTTTTTTTCTTCTTCTTCTTCTTCTTCTTCTTCTTCTTTCTTCCTCTCTACAAGAACTTAACTAGGCCGTGGTTCTCGCGGACACGCGGACCGTATAGCGATTCGCAGCATCGTTTTGGCATGTTTCGACAAACGTCAACCTCACTATTTCAGTGTTCCCCCTTTGAATCCAGTGAAAATAACGATATCACGACAAGAGAGACAAAGAGTTCCTTAATAATCCCACGTTTCCTCGGGCTCGTGTTTCACCACGGTCTCCTTGGGGCTCTCCTCGGTCGACTGTTGCGTTTGCTGCGTCGACGGTGGCCTAGGCGAGGTCACCGGGCTGTTCTGTCCAGACTTTGGACTGGGCAGAGGGCTGTCCCGGTCCTGGCCGTTGTTCCCAGAAACAGAGGACACGTCGCTTTGCGCGTCTTCCTCGTATCTGTCCTGCACCGGTGTCGGTTCCACCCTGATCGTTTCCTCGGCTTCTCTCTTCACGCCGTAATCGTCCGTTTGCATCACGCAGACACCGTTGATGATCACCTCGTCCCCCGTTCTGGCCGGTTCCTGCCACTCGGGGTTCACCCACTGCGGCGCTGCCGGTTTTCTTCTGTTCGATCTGACAGTGGCCGGCGCCGTGGGCGTTTCCGCTGGTTCTCTCTTTATACTACCCGCGGATCCTTCCGAGTCCTCGCTACCGAGATTGCTCATTGCGTCCTCCACGTCCTCGTCCTCGAACTCTTGATTCGGCTCTCGTTTTAGCGCGTTCATGGAGAGGTCCAAACCGGAACATTGTTCCTTGAGCGCGTTCCCTACTAAGGCAGCCAGGTTCGGGTTGAAGTACGGCGTGTAAGGCAGTGGCACGTTGCCCAAGCCTAGTCTCTCCTTCTGGATCTCCAACAGTCTTTGGTTTAACAGCAATCTGAACTGAACCGGGTCGAACGGTTGGCCAGGCTCTCTCGGCGATTGAGGCTCCGGCTGACCGTGCGGCGTCTGTTGCTTCAGTCTCATCCGATGATTGTGAAACCAGTTGGTTATCGTTCGCGAGGATAACGCGAGTTCACCGGCGAGAAACTCGATGGTCGCAACGTTCGGATACGGATCGAGGGCGAACGCCAGCCTCAGAGCTTCCTTTTGTTCTTCGGAGAAGAGGACCCTCTGCTTCTTGGCGGAGGCTGGCCCGGGTCCAGGCGAGGCTGCGTGATAGAACTCGGCCGTGTCGTTGCTCGACGTGTCGGAACTGTTGTCGTGGCCAGGGCCGCTGCTACGTCTTCTCTTGTTCGCCTCCCTGCGTTCGTTCTTCAACGCCTGTAGCCGATCCACGTTGTGCGCGTCGGACAGCCACAGCTGCATCCTTATAAACGGCTCTCTGCCCTTTATGCTCAGCATGTGCCACGGCTTTGGTTTGCTAAGCAACTCGCTCACCGAGCCCTGCGACAGCCCGAGCACAGCCTCGCCGAAGATCTTCTGACCGATGTTGTTGGCCAGCAACGCTTCCTTGATCTTCGTCGTGATCGTTTGCGTGTCGAGGTCTTGCGTCAACGCGGCCATCTCGTACACGCTCGGCGAAATGTGCGGGTGGAGGCTACGGAGTGGCGACGGGTTCATTTGGTGGTGCGGGGAATGGAGGTTCATCTGCTGTTGCTGCTGCTGTTGCTGCTTCTTCTGCAGTTCCTGCATGCTGAGCTGAGAGTGAGGGTGATGAGGGCCAGGTGGTGTCAGCATCATCGGCGGCGGTGGCTGAGGGTGCTGAGGATGTTGCTGAGGACTCTGTTGAGGCGGGCCAAGCTGCATCTGGTTCTCCTGTTGATGTTGCGCCGCCGCCGCCTGAGCCGCTGCCTGCGCCGCCGCCTGCGCCTTCGCTGCGTTCTGAAGTTGTTCCTGTACCAGTTTCGTCGGGGGCATCGGCTTCATAGGCGTTCCACAGGCTGTAAAAAAGCGAGCAAGAAGGGACGTTGAAAGGTTGCAGTTCACGAAAGTTTCACGCGTTATAGTCCGAAAGCTCACTTTGACAGACAGACGTCAGTTGCTTCGTCAAAATGGGATTCCCAAACAAGCGTCAGACACGTTCGACATACGTTTGGTACAGAGACGGGACAAAGATCAGGCAAAGATCAGGTGTGTTTAGAAGTGTATTTCTCAACGCAAGCCAGTTTCTCGCCGGTAGGAAGTCTCTGTGTGCAAACGCAGTATTCGACAGAAAAAACGTTGGAACGATAAAGAAACGTAAAACGCTTTCTGTGATTAAATATCCCACGACGCTTGGAAGAAATCTCCATCTCTTGGATAGATAAAATTAGAACGTATCTCAATTTCACCCTCGTCCTCTGTATTTTCTCTCTTTCGTTATCTTTTCAAGAAGGCGTTCAGCGGCGTTCGGCACACAGAGATATCGAGCTCCCAAACTATGTTGTTTTTTTTTTTTTTTATTTTTATTAGTAAAATAACAAAACATCTATATTGACCTGAGTTAAACTTACGAGGCAGGCCACCGTAGCCGCCGGTCCTCATCAGCTTCTCTGGCGCGATCTTGTACTGGCTGGCGACCAGTTTGTGCACCGCGTTGTCGTCCTCGAGGAACATCTTCATCCTGATGAAGGGCTCGCGGCCTTTTTGCGTCAGCATGTGCCACGGTTTCGGGCGTGCCAACAGGTCCGACACGGAACCCTGCGACAGGCCCAACACAGACTCTCCGAACAGACGCTGCGAGATCGAGTACTGAGACAACTGCTCCTTCACCTGGGAACACGAACGAAGTTGATCTTTTATTTCATCAATCGGACGTTCGAAAGCTTTGTTAAGCTTTTGACATCTGTCGACGTACATCGATTGCCGTAGAAAAATTAAGGATCAACCATTTGAAATGTAAATTGCAAATCAATTCGATTACTGGGATATTTTGAGTATTAAATAGATTCGTGTCAAATTTACGTGAATCGTTAAAAGACGATGCATGTTCATTCGAAAGGTAATTCCCAACGAGAGAACTCTCGTAAAATTAAGCGCAACAACGACTATACCACGATCATCCGTGCGAAAGGTAAAAGGAACGAATCGAATCGTCGATCCGTAATGTTCGAACAGGCAGACTCGAGGAAGTCTTCATCTCAACTATCACCGAACGACACGAACAACTTACTATCCGACTTACTCTCTTAACAATGTCCTCCGTGTTCAAGTTATTGTACATGTCGAACTGTTGCTGAGTGATGGGAGGAAGCACAGCTTTGAGCGGCCTCTGGTTGGCCGCGTGATGGGTAGGCGTGGACGGTTGACTGATCAGACTGTTCGTGATAGAGGCCATCCTCTGAAGAGGACTGGCCGCCGCTGCACCGGAGAATTCCTCGCTGGGTGTCATCGCTGGCGGAAGAATCGAGTTGCCGAGCGGTGAACTCGCGCTTGATCCACCTGGGGTCGATTGGGGTGCAGCGGTCGGCTCCTGTTTCGGCCTGACCAACGAGAAAGCGCTTCCCGCGTGTCTCATCGCTTCCTCCATCTTCTCTTTTTCCTCTTCCGACACTCCGTTTATCATCTTGCTCCTCGGATCGACTTTGCCGAGGCTTAGATCTTGAACGCCACCGCCGCCGCCTCCGCCGCCTCCACCGCCTCCACCGCCGCCTCCGCCGCCGCCGCCGTTCGTAGCCAGATGATGTTGTTGAAGCGCCTGCTGCTGAAGTGCCAGCAGGCCAGGTAGACCGGGCAGTCCTGGCAGTCCGGTCAACGATGGGTTCTGACCTGGCGTCGCGTTCAGCTTCTGAAGTTCCCGATGGTACGCGTCCAGCGCCAGCCTGATGTCCTCCTGCGTCCTCTCTATACCCTGAAGACCACCCTGCGCGCCGCTGAAAAAGTACGGGAACATCGCGCTACAATTAATCGAGGTCACGTGCTGTCCTCAATAATGATCAATCGTGGCGGCTCGCTCGACAATAATCACTGCCTCCTGTAATTCGAGCCCCCGGCTACGAAGGAAAGCTCGTGTTTACACCTGACATTTTCGTGTTAAGCAACGAAACAGATATAGCCTAGGCATATTAATTTTAGCCGCATACGTCATCCGTTCGGCATAGTTCTCTCTCTCTGTGTTCTCGCGCGGCCGCGATCCGCCGTGACTCACATGATCTATGGGATGCGCTACCGGTTCGGATGGATAGCATAGTCACTGACCGAGCTCTCTGTCTCGAGTCCTCCTCTTTTAAAACCAGCCCCTTACGTTCGCCCTTCCGTTTGCCTCTTATCCGTTACCTTTGCTCGTTCGTTCGAACAAACGAAGGGATTTCAGTTTAACAGGTTTCTCGAATTCGAGTCCTGGAGTTTTGTTTTCGGGCCGATCTTGGGCGAGACAGAAGAAGGAATCGAGGAGTGACGCGAGGTGTTGATCCGAATCCTACTCTTGGCAGACTGAATGTTTACGTACACGACGAGGAGGATCGTCAATGAATATTTATGCATGCCAATGAATCTTTGAATTTTTTTTTTTTCTTTTTCTCTTTGTCGGAAGATTGATTCTGATTTACAGACGTCGTTAATAAACTCTCTTTTTTTTTTCTCCTCGAAAGTTCGTCGGGCACGTAACGCAAGACGAGACAAGGTTTAACATTATCGATGTAGCGCGAATTCACAAAAAAAAATCGAGAGAGAGAGAGAGAGAGAGAGAGAGAGAGTAATCAGCCCTTATATATAAATACATGTATAAAACCATCTGTAATTTTTCTTATCTTTCTTTGGCGATCACGCCTCTCGTGAGATTAATCGAGCCTCACCTGGAAGAGAACTCTCTGGGCCCGCGTAGATCCTCGACCCTTCTTCCCATGAGTTTAGCCAGCTCCTCCTGGTAAATCCTCACTACCTTCTCTTGCGGAATGTCGTCGTTCTCGTATTTCTTCAGTCTCCTATTTTGACTGTCGAGCCTGTCTTTGTTAAACGGGCTCGGACAACCGATTCTATTCGGACTTTTGCTGTCCGCGGTGTCGTTCGACACCTCGTGCTCACCCCTCATCTGTAGGTGGCCCGACTCCGAGAGGATATGTGCCAACCTCTCGTCACTTATTTCCGGTGGACCACTTTCCTGTGGACCACGCGTGAACGCTGGCATTCCCTGCTCCTTGCCTGAAACATACTCTACGGGTGAGGCACAACTTGTGGTGCGTTCTTACTCGGTTTGATCTTATTGGTATGTAGAAAAAATGTAGAAAATTAATAGAGTTAGATTATGGAGACGCGAGAAGAAGGTGAAAGGCTAGTTTCGCTGCTTGAATCTACGCTCAACGTTCTACCGTATCTGTGATATCCGTTTGCTTTGTCTCGTTTCGAGTTCGTTTACTTTCCTTTCTTCAAAGCGATCTCCAAGTAATAAGAAATGCTGTGAATTTTGCAAAATCTGTCTAAAGAAACAGATATTTCGTACGTTACAACTTGAACGCAACGCGTAGATTCTACAGACACTTTTCGCCTTCCGACACTCTTGTCACTTTGTTTTTTGGAAGAAACAGAAATCGAAAGTAAAATGCCGCGTGTCTCTCCAAGTTTTCGTGACGTTAGTTTCTTAAAAGACGAATAACAGCAAAAAAGGTATAATGCAGTGGCCATTGGCCTTTGTGCGGGACTTGAAAATGAGACGAAGATGAACGAGATGGCGCTGTCAACAAAGTTAACAGTTTATGTTTCGTCCCGTGTTCTAGGATTTGCAACCGAATTCTTATATATTAAAAAAAAAAAAAGAAAAAATCGAGTTCTTATTTATTTGAAAAAAAAACAAAAAAGAAATCGTCGAAAATCTGAGGAGGAAGTGAAAGAATCACGCGAGCGCGACAAAGTTAAAGCTCAAATTTCCCGACGATCAGTGCCTTTCAATTTCGCTCGTTTCGGTAAGGAAGAGCCAGCCCCAAGAACCTAATCAGATCCCCATGGAGGAGGGTTGACTCCACGTTCGATCGAACGTGGGTGCAATTAATACAAGGCAGAATCAATAATAGCTTGGGCTCGAAGCCGAAGGCTGAAGCATAACCCAACGACGATAATTAAAATATCCTTTTCCGAGGCCTCACCCCTTGCGGCCTTCCTCCCTCTTACACGTAACCAACAGTCTCCACTTCTCCTACGTGTTTCCTGTCTAATTGACCAATCAGCCGCAAGATTCAGACGAATGAGCCATCGATCATGTCTTTGATTGCTTCGCTACCTTTCCTGCCTTCTCGCTCGACCAAATATTCTCTCGCCATTCCGATTCTTTCGTCCATTCGCTCTTTGGTGGAATAATATCATCGAAGTGTAATTTTTTTTTAAATTCCGTATCTCTTCTGCTCTTCCATTTTTCTTAACTAAATCAGCTGTGAAAAGATATCGCTGGAAGATATTAGTCAGTTTAGAAGAGAGAACGGGGCTAGAAAATCATCGAGAGGAGATTGAACTTAGAAAACGGTGTCGTTGCTTGTCCGTTTTCACTTTGACATTCGAGTTGCATAAATAGACCGTTACCTATAGCCTGTCTGTTGTATTTTAAAAATATACTCTTTATTCTCTATCCAGACCTTCCATCGACGAAACTAAGTGAGCTTGCGTCTCGACGCGAGTATCACGATGGTTTTACACGACACGTTTTCGAATCACAGTCAGACTTCCTTGTCCAGACCTTTTAACCGAAAAATATTTCACTACTTTCCAACTTGTATATCTTGCAACGTTGATCGTAAATCGTCGAAATTCACCGATCAAACGAAGAAATTCCTTGGGACTTTTATTTTTAACAAGAGCAAGAGGCCGCGTCGAATGCGGAACGCGTTCGAGAAAGGGAAGATTAATTGGTCATTAAGGTCGGAATGTAGACGACGATCCAAGAAACCGATGTTGCAGTTATTACGGGAATATTGGTCGACGAGAAATGTTTCAAGAAATCGACAACATGGTGGGTAGAAACATTACGGGGACAATGACGACAGTCGAGGTTCGTCTCTCGAATGCTTGTGGAAGAATCGAACGCGACGTGTACACACGACTGTGCTACGCCTGTGTCGCGCCCGTGACGTTTGAATTCGTGCCAGCAGACTTCGACTTATGCCAACCTTTTCCTCTTTGCGCCCATACGACATTTTCGTGGGACAACTGCGGCAACCTCTTAACCGGGGGAATCGCTTCGTTACCAAATTCATGCGATCGGAAACCCGAATTGAAGGCTCGATCTTCCACTTCCTCTTCCGCAGAGAACTCAAATTCTTCAGTTCAACAATTCCTTTTCCTCTTTCTGCAAAATTTTTTTTAAAAACTGATAGATTGAGAGCGTGTTCTCGATCTCAGAGCGTATAAAATATACAACGACGTAAACAAATTTATTTCCAGTGAAGAACGTGATACACATTTGTGTTTACGTCGCGCAGGTATCATCGTCGTATGATGAACACAGATCGGTGAAAAATGTGTTTTCAGTTCAGTCACACCGACCTGCCGACGGAAAAACTTTGCCGGGATAAAAAGGAACGAGGTCGTTATTATCCGTCGCTCCCCCCCCCCTCCTCTACGTAAACGTGGACGTTTTTTGAACGCAGTTTGCGCTGATGAAATTGGCATTATCGTCATCGATACTCGGCATATTGATCAACGCGGTAGCTGTAAGAACGATACATTGTCGTTACGTATAAAGATACGTCGAGGTCCTTACTTACATCGCCAGGCTGTTCTTGAACGTCTTTTTCCTTAACGTCGTAACTGTATTCGATGTAAAGCGTTCATTGAAACGCGACTCGATGTTTTATCAATCCGCGGCGATTAATCGAAGAGCATCGAAGGAGGAAAAACAAGCTCCGCGCGAGAAGAAACCACGCGAATATCGTAATTATCCCCGCCGAGTTTAATTTTTATTCGCGCGTCGTGAATTAATTAACGACCGAGAGAATTTCGAACAGACGTATCTATGCATACACGCGCTAGACGTTGAGTCACGAGTCGAGTACGAAGAATTTCGTCGCTGTCGAACAGACTAGAGAATTCATTTCGAATTTCCTTCGAGAGTCCTCCGAAGGAGGTGGAGACCAATTAGACAGAGAAGTAATCCGGGTGTCGCGGGCCTCGTTGTTTCCGTTGCGTACGCAGTCTCTCAGATGATGAAACGGTCACGGTTCGTTCGTTCGGATCGCGCCGAGGCATCAAAGAGCCCCGAGGCTGGTAGGTATGGTATAGGAATCGTCGAAAGAAAGAACAATCGAGCTCTCGTAACGACGTAATGGCCGAACCGGATAAGAAATCCATATTACGCTTTACGCTTTTTATCCGACAGGCCTTAGGAAATGGGAGTATATCTCAAGCGATAATTACGGTTGCCGTGGCAAGGTAGCGCAAGGTATATCGTCAACTATGCTTTACAGATCCGGCAAAAGGCTGAACGTGAACAACGTCGACAATGGCCGATTGCAAAATTTTGAAACAATTTCGTGAGAATCCTCGTCCTGGCGGCGAGGAAGGGGAGTGTGTACGCGCCTTAAGAAACGAGAGACGATTGTGTCGCGAGAAATCCGCCGTGTTCCCGATTTGTGTTCTCGACAACACACGAGAATTCTTACGCCAGCCGCGATTGTTGGCTGACCCGTGGAAAGTACACGTGTCTATGGAGTCGATATGAATCAGGAACGGTGAAATATAGGTTCGCGAGAACTGGCGTGCGCGAGTCCTTGTATTTTCGGATCGCGAACAATGCTCTCACTCGGGTTGGGAAAGGGGGAGAGTGGAACAGGTTGAATATCAATGGGGACTCTGGTTAAGGTTCTTTCGTCTGTTTTTTTTTTTTTCTTTCAACGACTCAGGTTTCATTGTTCTTTCTTTTTCGAGACGAATGGATTAAATTGGGAGGATTTCGTTTGAAAAAATTGGCAAACGCGCTTTCTACATGGTCGAGAAGGATACATTTCGGAAAACAGGGATCGTTAAGTTCGCACGAAAGATACTTACTTGATTAATCTCTAAAAATCGTAACTTTTACCACTCTAAATGAATGAGCAACTTTAGGCTCTAAATGAATAAAAAAAAAGAAAAAAAGAAAAAGAAAAATTGTTTTACAGTGAAAAAATATAGAGGACATAAATACGACACGCGTATCGAACGTTTGTCTAGTAACCGGTAAAGAAACAGCCGGGTTGTTTTTCAAGACGCGGCTTTAAGACGCGTGCAATTTCCGCGGGCTCGGGCGACGACAAGGGCTGGCACGTTTTGTGCACGTTGAGCGCCGGGCGTCGTGCAGGAGGCGGAAGGATACAGAACCGGGACAGAAAATCTGATAAAATCGCCATATGAACCAGAGTAGCCTCGCTAATGAACGTAACTCTTTCGCGTTTTGCGCCGCTCTCTCTCCCGCACACGCGCAAGATGTGCGTGGCTGCATATAGCGCGTTTAATTGACGGTGAAATACGCGAGTGCGAGGCACCAACCGACCGAGGGCTGAGGGGGATGATGGGGGTTCCTTCTTTGAATCCCGGCTCCGTAACAACCTCGAGAACGCGTTGCCTGCGAGAACGAAATTCGGAACGGTCGGCCTCGCGCGAGGGAAAATCATCGTTCGATTTAACCCGGTGGCTGGTACGCTAATACACATTAGGCTTCGTGCACGCGTAATGTCATTTCTCTGGCGTTTGAATTTTGACGACGTCAACGTTGCAGGCTGAAAATTTTTCTTCCTTTTCTGCCTCACAAAAAGTTAGAAGCGTTTCGAAATCTCGTTAATTCTCTTACTGGTTCTCGTTCTGTCGATGTCTGAAACATTTTCTAACGACCTGGCCGTCTGTAAAATATTTCGGCGATTTCTGCGAGGATAAAGCAACGAAATCAATTAATCAGTGAACATCATTTCGTCAACGGGTCTCTTTGGCAACAACAGCAGAGGTAATTTATATTTCTGTGACGAACCGAATCGTTCCAATCAGTTATGATTAAAAAAATTGTTAGACTCTTTCTGACGTCGACTTTGACTTGAAGGGTATGACGTTTCATCGTCAGAAAGCCAGCTCATTTTTTTCGTAACATTATCCCGAGGTAGGCAACTGGAGAAAAACTGGAGGTATATCGTTTATTGTCAGCGATAAATCGTGCGCGATTCCGTAAACTGGCAGCGATCGAGTCGATCTTG